TTTTTCTGCTCATTCTGTTGGTTTTTGTCTTTTGCCCTTCTCCCCCGTCCCTCTTCTGAGCTGTTTCTCTTTCCCTCTTTCTTTCTCCCCTTCTTTCCCCCAGTCAAGTCTGTCCCGTATTCAGTAAGTGAAAATAAAATTGGTTTAAATTGACCAATGTTTGAAGTTGAGGTTACCCAAAAATTGAGTCGAAAGTCAGAACCCATCACATGGGTTATATTACCATTAACGTTTGGGTTAAGATTTGTACTTATTATAAAATTCAGAAAACTAGATTCAAAACAGATTTTATCAAAAAAGCTTTTTATTGCCATATGATACATAGAACATAGATGGCAAATTCATAAAACATATATCAATTAAAGTAAAATGCAAGTAACAAAAAATATATAATTCATTGTATTATATCCATTACTTCAAATCAGTCTTTGGTTACAGCACATGTACATGTTAATACACATAAAGACGTGCTATGTAAAGCCAGCTCTGGTTTTAGAACAAATTACATGTAAAAACTCTTAACTTTAAAAAACTGATGAGTTGATGATTATCTCAATACTTAACAGACATCGACACTTTGGAAAAGTGGCAAGAGGGAATCTCCCTCTCAGATCATTTCATGCACCTTTATGAGCAACATTTTACGTTTCCATCATAGCTAAATGAGCCCTCATTCATTTGACCATATTTGATTCATGCCCTGGGATTCATCTATTCTTGGGATAGATGACAGTGAGAAGGCATTCCCGAACCTGTGCGCATGACTTTGGGTAACTTGCATCAAAAACAAAAAATGCTTTGAAGCACCCATCAACAGACCTTCGATTGCTGCAAAAAGCAGAAACAAATCTATCTTCTAGTACCAGGCAAGATGAACATTTTCTTAAGGTTCCTTTGGTGCTGAATTCTTCTTCCTGATAGAATGAAGCCTTTTCCTGACATTGTGTAGACCTATGCTGGCCTATGAGTTCTGCAAGGGCTGAAACACACATCCTGTAATTTTTAAACAAAACAAAAGAAAAACACTGATATTGTTATCAACGCAGAGATCACTTAGGTTAAATTAAATAATTGAATTAAATTAAACAGTTTAGGTAGACTGTGTTCCTTTTTCTTTTTTTTCTTTTTTTTTTTTACCTTTTTCCTACAAATGCCACACCCAATCTCATACTTTCTTTGTTCTGTATACAGTGATCTCTAAATAGCAAATACCCCAAGCAAATTTTGACCTAACAGAGTTAGTCAAGCTATGGAGTGAACTGAAGAACTCTGTACATTACCAACCCAACTCCTGAGTCATGATTTCAGAACCAATATTTGGTCACAATAACCCAACCTACTAACCCACGGCTTTTACCCAGCAGTTGAGTTATGAAAATAACCCAGCATTTTTAAGAGTGTATGTTACCTAGCCACGAGCTAACATAGTTAGCTGGCGTTAGCTGAGGTTAGTTCATAAACTGCAGACTGTTAGGCCATTTCCAAATACTCAAGTACGCGAGTCCATACTCACGTTTTATTTAGTCTGGGCCTCGTAAGTTCACACAGAAGACCAGACTTCCCAAGAATGCAGCGAGATCATTCTACAATTAGAATGGCAGTCTCCTATTGACATCAGAGCTCCAGAGTTTTTACTGCCATCCCCTCTTAATTTAACTGTGATTAATATTTGCAGTGGAAATTACACATGACATAAAAAAATTTTTTACATGATGTAGTAGATTTCTTTAAGAAAAGAAAGATAATTTAAGCTGATTGGAACAAATTTGAATTGAACAAATATTTAAAATATAATCTGATCATTTTTGGAGCAGCCTTTGGGATCTCTGCATATTAACACGCTGTTTTTAGACTTGATGGATAGCATTAACAACCTGCTAACTGCAAATAATCGTGCATGTTCTGCATGATTATTAACAGACAAAAAGAAAACAGGTGATACAGAAATAGTTTTGTGTACGAGAAAACTATTTTACCTAATGTGCACCCTACTGTTACTCATTTTATATTAAGATTTAAAAATCTAGTTGGTATTGGTATGACGCGTAGCCTTCAGTA